CTTCCTCCCGACTTCCCCTCCTCCCTGGCAGAGCATGAGACTCTGAAAGTCCTTGGTCAGAATAAACATTACTTAGCAACATCTAAAAACATCGTTGTTATTAGCATTTTTCCCTGGCTGAAAGTCAAAAACACAGCACTACACCAGCTACTAAGAAGGAGAAAAATGACTGCTACTGCTGAACCCAAGGCAGAAAACATGCAGTCTTTAGAACTGGGGCAGTGCTACATTTTTTATATCCCCAGTCCTGGGCAGGAGTTGATTTGGCCTTTGTTAGAGCATTCACTGGGGAAGGGATAGAGGGCATTAATTTCCATTAGCAGTGCAAATATACACCCTTCATTGAAAAGATTAATAAATCTTGATGTTGGGCTTCAGATTTGGTAGTCATAGCCAAGAGAAGAGCTTCAGCAAGCTGTTGTAGAAATAATCAATTTTCTTGACATTCTTTATATGAGGTATTGGTAAGCAAACATCCAGTTTCTCATTACAGTCTTCATGTCAGTTCTTATGGATTTCAGTAGGGCCAAGACTCAAGTGCCCTTGCAACATGAAAGAGTGGAGGACTGAACTGTTGTAGTTTTAATGTGATTATTTGCATGAAGAATGAAAGCTGTGACTCACAAGAAGTTCAGAAGTGGTTTTGTTTGTTTGCAATTCATTTCACAAAATCAGAATATGCATGTGGTTTCTGTTGGTTTGCTGTTGTGGTGCTCATGCTTAATGTATTTATCAAATCAGACTCTTGAAACCAAAGGAAGCAAATAGTAGTTTGTAAGGCAGTGGTATGTGTTGCCATGGGAAGCTGGAAAGATTTTATGCTTTTGTTGTAACAGAGCAAGGGTGCTCTGAGATATTTAGATGCAAAACTTTATGCAAAACTGTGCTAATGGCTACGTGATTGACAAAGCATCCCAACGCCAGCACGAAACAAAACGATAGCTTTACTAGGTGCTTGTCCTGGGTTCAGCAGTAGCAGTCATGTTTTTTCCTTTGTGTTAACTGGTGCAGTGCTGTGTTTTGACTTCTAGTTTGAGAACAGTGTTGGTGAAGCCGATGTTTTCGGTTGTTGCTAAGTGATGTTTACCTTGACCAAGGACTCTGTGAGGCTCATGCTCTGCCAGGGAGGAGGGGAAGCTGTGAGGAAGCAGGGACGGGGCGCCTGACCCGGGCTAGCCGGGGAGGTATTCCATACCACAGCACGTCATGGCCGGGGTGGGGGGTAACTGGGAGTTACCCGGAAGGACAGGGGCTTCCGGGTGGAACTCGCTTTCTTGGCCGGTGGTATCGTATTCTCTTCCCTTGTTATTTTCCCTTATCATTGTTTTAGCTGATAGTAGCGGTGGTGATTTGTTGCTGGACTGTTCTTGTCTCAACCCGTAGGAGTTGCACTCTCTCGATCCTCCTCCCCGTTCCTCCGGGAGCGGGGAAGGGGAGAGCCCCGGTGCGGGGGGGGGGGGGAGACGGACACGGACCTCGATTGTTGTCAGCTCGGCACCACTCACTGGGAGTGAGTGAACAAGTTACCTGACTGGGTTTAAACCACGACAGTGCTGCATCTTCCTTTCTATCCCAGAGAAACCCAACAGGTGGGATCCCACAGGACTATACCTGCGCAGAACCAATTGCTGGATCTCACCTTTAACTTGAATGCCTGCTGTCAACTATAGCAATGCTCTGGGATGTTTATAAGGGCCTGAGCAAGGGATCCTTTAGAAAATAAATGGGGAAAAATGTTGACTGCAAGAAGAGTCATTTCACAAATAAACTTCTTTCCCAAATTATCTTACTAAAACAGACAATAACCCCTTTTTCTAATGATTTATAACTGTTCCCAGCTGATCACAAAGTGTTTCTAAATTAAAAGCCATTAATAGCCTTATATAGATAAAAAGATATGCAAGAAGTGCTTTGTAATTCCAGCTCAGTGCTTCAGGTGAGAGCTTTTTAAATTACTTGAACCATTCCAGTCACCTGCTTGAGGGCCTTGTGTTCTAATACTCATCAGTGCATTACAGTGCTAACATTATTACTGATTTTTCTCATTTCTCCAGGGCAAATACTAATTAATGGATACAATTCACAGCTGATTAGCTGTAGTTTCTTCAGTAATTACATTAGCAGACTAACTGTGCAGAAGACGATTTCTAACTCAGTTCCTATTTCACTCTTATTTGGTTTTTGACTTGTTTAGGTCCTTAAGATAATAACCATTTTATTTTCTTTTATTTTTCTTTTGTTGTTATAGGTAACATTAGATAATAAGGAAGTTTAATCTTAGAAATACTCACAGATAATTGTTGTGTGCCTTCAATGGATTTCTATTTCAGAGACAAAAAATAAATTTAAATAATATTAGATATGATCCATACTAACAAAAGCCTAAATACACCAGGGTCTGACATCAGTGCTGGAGTCATACACAATAGGGTCTTAAATATTGTAGCCCAAGAACAGAATGAATCAAAGGATATGTACTTGTAACTTGTAGCTTTGACATTCCTCACTGCATCATTTGCTTCCACAGTCTTAATAAAATGGAATATTATGTTGTCACTTTCCCCTTTGATTTACTTTAATAAGACAAAAAGGAAGAAAAACACTTGGAAATCAGAACAGCAGTAGCTGTGGTGTGAGTAATACATGTAGATCAAAACAGTGTAGAATTTTACTCTTCAAAGTAAAAATCAGCTGCGGGGCCATTTTGAGGCTCTGGAGCCCCTAGAATGCTCATTAAAATAGGATAGAGCTTGTTCCCACTTATTTATTCAATGTTAGAGCTATACCTATTGTACCTTTGCACTTAAGGATAATTTGAAAACTTTTTTTTTTTTATCACTGTAGAAAGAACAGCTTTATTGGAAGCCAGTTGCGCTTTTCATATAAATCCTTCTTAGTTTGTCACTAACGAACATGAAAAGAATCTACCTTGTTGATCTCACTGTTGAGCTGAAGTACTATGTCTTTGTGCAACAAATCCCCACACAGTAATTGGAATGTGAAATTTTATTTGAATTTTTTAATCTCCAAAAATGGATGACATCTGGGCTTTTAAAAGATGGGTGACATTACTTGAGTATCTATCTACATAGCTGGGGATAACAGAGTTTTAATAGCTATGAGGCAACATACATATTGTGTTAGGGCCTCTGTTGCTTAACATGTTATAGGTTGAAAGATTCAGCATGTTAAGTACACAAATGGAATTTCATACTTCAGAATAAGTAATCTCATCTCATATTCCTTTTTCCTCATGATTATCTCCTGATTTTGTTGGTGTCCTGTTTTATCAATCAGACAATTTATCACTTACACAAGGTTCCAATTCTTTGGGTCAATCTTCCTTTTTTCATTCTCTTAACACTGTAGTTGTTTACAGGTTTTTTTTCTTCTCCTTTTAACTTCTGCTCTTATTTTCAGAAATGGATTTTTAAGTTTTCAGGAAAAGAGCCTTTCTTGAAATGATCATTCTGAACCTCTGTTCTAGAAGGCTGGAAGAACCAGAGGGAGTCAGGGACTGAAATGCTTCCCTGCTAAAAACAGCCAGGCACCAAGTACTGCAGGAGCAAATGGAGCTGGAGCAAAGCAGTTTCCTTTCAGGACAGGTTCAGCTGCTCCGAAAGCACAACAATTTCTTGCTTGTAAAGAACAACCTGTGCAAGTTCATGGTTACCCATTCTCATGCCCTTGTTGCAGAGCTTATGCTGCTGATGGTGGTGTTTGCTGTTGTGGGTTTGGGTTGGGCAGGTCCACCAATATCTGGCAAGATAAAACAAAGCCTGCCTGAAAAAAATTTGCTTTACAGGCATCAAAAGTGGGAGTTAAGGAAAGAATGCTTAGTGTGGCTTTAGCAGCAGTGATGTGGCAAGGAAATGTGGCAAGGACTTTTCTCTCATTTGATACTCTTTGCAGTGTGCACTGTGCTTGATAGCAGAAATATGAAAATGTGAAAACCTGTTATTCAGTGTTTTGGTGGTAGCTGTGTGATGTGTGTGGTATCTTGTTCCTTGAAGCAAAGACCCTAGACCCCTGCCTGCTTCAGAAACACATGCAGGAATAATTACCAGACTGCCTGCTTTTTGAAGTGCTGTTTAAGGGAATAAGGCACACTAAGTGACAACCAAATGCTGGTAATCTCTTTCTTTTCTATGCTCAGTTTGTGAAGCAAAAAGTACTTATCTTCTGCAATGAATGTTCATAGTTGAGAATTTGGAGGAAATGACACTGTGGCATCTGAGAGAATCCTTTCAGATCACTTGTGTGCGAGAGGAGTTGCACCTCCGTGAGAACAAGTCGGCACTCGGCCCATTCCACCCTGGGTAGATCTCAAGGTCTCAGTGTGATACAGTTTCTCTGATTTGCAAAATCTTTGGGTGTCAATGTTCACTGGGGGCATGGGAGCTCAACTGGAATGAAGGATAGACAAAGGGAGATTGTTTGGCTTTTAAATTCTGTGGAAACAATAGGATTTTAAGATCAACACTACAGATTCTCATTCTTCCCCTCAGTGACCTTCATCTCTTTAAAACCAGGTCTACTTGGAACAGTAATACACAACCTACTTCTAGCTGCAGCAGTCATCTGCATAAATATTATAACGCATGTCAGGAAAGATGTAGTAGATTCAAAATGTCTTTTCTGGAGAATAGTCCCTTTCTAATGGACACTTAATTTCTAAAGTCACCTCTAGGTCTGTGGGGTGGCTTTGCTACATGGACAAAGAAAATCAAAGAGAGACACTTGGATATCTTCCAAGTACAGACCTTGGGATGCAGAGTATGTAATAATAATAATGTTGAATCCAATCTAGTTCTGACTTCAAAGAACATCTGCAAAATTGAATTTTCTTTGTTTGTTGTTTTGTTGGGTTTTTCTTTTGTTTTTGAGGTTTTGGGGGTTTTGGTGTTTGGGTTTTTTTTCAACTTTCCTATGCCAGTGATGGGGTAAAGAAAAGTTTATGGTGGCATTCATTAAAATGCAAATATTTAATTTTCTTTCAGTTTGGAAACAATAACAACTACATGAACATGGCAGAAGCAGGTAATGCATGTCTTGCTGCAAATCAGGTAGATGCTTTTCTTTTTTATCTATGCTCATATTCTGCTGTTCTCTGTGGTAATTTAACAGACTTTGAGTGGGTGAAGAGTGAAGTGCCAAATTTCTGTCTGCTTTATGGAGCACAAAATAAAGACTTTAATAAGAAAGAAAATAACATGATAGGTCTCCTTTACTAGTCAATTTAGCTGTCCATAAGGCTGTTACTTGCGTAGCATGTCAATAGAAACAAGTCTGCTTTATATATGAAAATATAAACAGAAGGAAACAAAAAGCACAATAGGTGTACACCTTGGAAGCAAGCTTAGTAATAGTCATTACTAATGAATGAGCTAATTTCTGTTATACATATAAACATTTTAATTTGGGTTCTTAATGCACATATAAGTTAGAAAATCAAACCAAACTTTGCTGCCTGAAATGCTGTCCTGGGTTAAGCAATAGCAGTCATTTTTTCTCCTTCTTAGTAGCTGGTGCAGCGCTGTGTTTTTGACTTTCGGCCTGGGAGCAGAGCTGATAACATTGATGTTTAGTCTGACCAAGGACTTTGTGAGCCTCATGCTCTGCCAGGGAGGAGGGGAAGTCGGGAGGAAGCAGAGACAGGACACCTGACCCAAACTAGCCAAAGAGGTATTCCGTACCACAGCACATCATGCCCGGGATGTAACTGGGAGTTATCGGGAAGGGCACTCTGCTCAGTTCTCCTCCCCATCCCTCCGGGAGCATGGGGGGGGGGGGGGGGGGGTTAGACTGCATGGCTGACTTGCCAACAGAGTTTAAACCAAGTGCATGTGCTGCTTAAAGGAAACTTCTGTCCAGGATCAGGAACAAACACCAGGTCAGGGCTGGTGGAGCCTGACTGGGTTGTGGAGGTGATATATTTGATTGCTGTCTCAAGAATGTGAACAAGAGGAAGGCATGGCCACTAGAGTCTCCATGTATTTGTTACAGTGGTGCCATCTTACAGCCAGTGAAAAGACTTTCAACATGCGAATAGCCCCGCTCCAGACAGAAACACCTTTTGCTCATCACTAAAACCTAACAGCTCTTATTCCAAAGGGAAGGATGGAAAGTGCAAGATGTGCTGTCTAGGAACATGCGTACCAACATGGAGAACAAGAACTAAGTATTTATGTAGGGTCCATGCCATAAATGGTCTTCCCAACACGAGGAAAGGTTAGAAGACTGGGCAGCCTTGATTTTACATGTTGTAAGTGGAGATTCAATTGCAGGTATTCTTGTGCACATTTTAAAAAGCAATCTCAGAGAAAATAAGCAGAAAGGTGTAACAATAAATATGAAGGTTAAAATTAAGCGTTATATTTTATGAATCATTTATACAGTGGTCACCATCTCTTTTTATCCAGCAAGACTGCTTAGATATGGCAATGCTGTTTTGCACTAGCTCCAGTGTTATATTTGATAATGAACACAAACCCCATCTGTAATCATAGAATCATAGAATAGTTAGGGTTGGAAAGGACCTTAAGATCATCTAGTTCCAACCCCCCTGCCATGGGCAGAGATACCTCCCACTAAACAATGCCACCCAAGGCTTCATACAACCTGACCTTGAATGCCGCCATGGATGGAGCGTTCACAACTTCCCTGGGCAGCCCATTCCAGTGCCTCACCACCCTAACAGGAAAGAACTTCCTTATATCCAATCTAAACTTCCCCTGTTTAAGTTTCAACCCATTACCCCTTGTCCTGTCACTACAGTTGCTAATGAAGAATCCCTCTCCAGCATCCTTGTAGGCCCCCCTCAGATACTGGAAGGCTCCTATGATTTCTCCACTCAGCCTTCTCTTCTCCAAGCTGAACAGCCCCAACTTTCTCAGCCTGTCTTCATACGGGAGGTGCTCCAGTCCCCTGATCATCCTTGTGGCCCTTCTTTGGACTTGTTCCAACAGTTCCATGTCCTTTTTATGTTCAGGACACCAGAACTGCACACAATACTCCAAGTGAGGCCCCATGAGTGCAGAGTAGAGGGGCAGGATCACCTCTTTCGACCTGCTGGTCACGGTTCTTTTGATGCAGCCCAGGATACGGTTGGCTTTCTGGGCTGCGAGCACACACTGCCGGCTCATGCTCATTTTCTCATCGACCAACACCCCCAAGTCTTTCTCCACAGGCCTGCTCTGGATCTCTTCTCTAAAGACATGACAACACGATGTTTCTTTCTGTAGAATTTCTTACCTACATTTGATTCAAACATTGATGAAAACTCTGCTGCCAGCAGCTGTTCAGAGACAGTTTAATTCCAGCTGTGATAATTCACCGTGTCAGACATTGGCTGTTATATGATAATACAAGTTCTCCAGATTTGCATTTTTATCAAAAGGAACATTTTGAAAATTTCAGTGCAGATGGCATTTAACCATGCACACAATTTATTTTCTTTTAAAAAAAAAGTGTAAGATCTAAATATTTGAAAAGTTAATAACTTTAAAAAATGTGATTGGTAAGATAAAGCCCTCAAATGTTATACCATCTTTTGGTCATAGCAACACCTTCCTGCAATCCCAAATTACATATTATTCAGGCTCTTTTTACAGACTGAATGCTGCAGTGATTTGGATTTAAGACTTTCACTAAGGGGCTTGCTTTCTTCTTAGATGAAATCTATTTTATCCTCAATCTTATGTCCATTTTATGTTTTTAAAAAAGAATATATACATATTTGGACAAGTTATATTGTAAGAATTAAGTTCACATTTAAAAAATGTTCAGGTATTCATCAGTTTACTCTTCTATTTGTAGTAAGATATAGTATTAAGATGAATGCTACTTTCCTAAGTAAAATATTGTATTATTGTCTGTGTTATATATTTATACAGCTGCCCTAGAGTTATTCTGTTAGATGGGGAGAAAAGCTCCAGTTCTTATAATTACTTTCACATAAATATGTCAAGTAAAGAGAGGTTCAAATATACTGTAATAATACTGATTTTACTGAACCCTTTTGCTTGAACAAGGAATAAAAATATGAGTATTAGTGTTCGCATTAAAGAATGACCCGAAATTTGCAATTACTGCATTTACAATATATTTAATTATAGTGTATTTACATTAACATGAATGTAGCTTTCTCACTATGATTTTGGGCCTGAGCACTGCTGAGATAAAGCCGATTTTTCTTAACAGTGTATTCCTCAAGCACATTCAGGCTTAGAAGACACACATTTGCTTTGTTTTCTGTCTCTATGACATGATTATTATGACTCATTTTAAAGCACCTTAAATATTTATTGAAATAATATTTCAAGTGTTAATTACAGTGGTAATGAAAATAGTCAAATGCCACATATCACGAATAAGCATTTATCTGTACTGTTAATGTGATATGTTAGATTTCATTAAGCAGTAATGGGGTAGCAAATGAGTCACAAATTACAGTTGCATCTGTTACTAGACCACATTAGTGCCAAAATAACTGCAAATGCAGCCATAGGTTTCATTAGCCAACCATTTCTCCTGGCCAGTCCATCCTTTGTGTTTGTGAACTGTGGGGTCCACAGGAAGGAAAATTCACACCTTTTGTAATATAGGAGAGGGGAAGTCAAATGTCTCCCTAATCCAGGCCCAGCTTTCACATCCAGAATTAAGTTACAGTCTTGCAGTTCCAGTGAGATGGATAGAGTCTCAGCAGGCTCTGATGGTACTGCAGACTGCAGCAGTCTGTGACTTCATCATTTCTGATGTGAGACTAATGACAGCTGACAGGTTCTATATGCAAGCGAAGGTTTTTCTTGTATATCAGTTTCTTTCTTCTCTCAAGCAGTTATTAACTTATATCATCATTAGCAGTTTGAAGGATGATAATTTGCAGCAGTTAATGAGATCTTTCACTGAACTTACAATTTTTAAATTAACTGGCATTAAGTCACTCTTTCAAACAATGTAAATAATACATAAAACACCCCCCATCCAACTCGAATCCTGAACTAATGCAAACAAACAAATCCCAGAGCAGCCTTGCATGTCCAGAACAAGACAAGAGTGCCTATTTTAGGATTGCCAACTGCCCTATTTGATCAAGACAGTCCTGATTTGGGTACATTTAAAATGGCCTAATTTCAAGCACTGAATTTCTATTATGAAATAGCAGTGGACCTGAAATAATATATGAAAGTTCATTTAACTCGCAAGAAATTTGAAAATTTGATTAAGCATAGCTCATTTGTTTCCCAAATAAAAGTCAGCAATGTTGAAGCCAGATAGAGACTCCACTTGAATGAAGATTATCTTTGACAGACACATGTACATATGCAAACATGCACAAATCCTGAAAATAATTGGAAGTAAATGTTTTGCTCAAGGCATCTTAACAGGTGTTTAGTAAGGACATTAACCTACTGTTCAAACAAAGCTGGCTTGCTTCAGAAATCTTTAATCAGAATGATCCACAAACCCCCTCAGCATACAAAACTTAAATTTGTTGCATATAGAGTTTACATTTGAAAGCAAGCCAAGGTTTGGACTACAAGTCCAGAGGTGGTGGCTGAGAGGCATGTGCCCTAACGTGGTTTGCCTTGTCCTGTCCTTTTTTATCAGACGTTCCATACACTGAGCCATGGGGATGAGGAGTTTGAAATCCCACCCATTACTCCCCCACCCGAGTCAGACCCAGCGCTGGGGATGTCAGATATGCTGCTGCCCTTTCAGGGCCTTGGTGATCAACTGCCTCCACAAGGAAATGAATTTACACCTCAGTTTCCTCCCCAGAGCTTGGATCTTCCCTCTATTACAGTATCCCGCAATCTTTTGGAGCAAGATGGCATCATCTACAGCAATGGATTGCATATGGTAGGTCTGGTTCTTTATGTGTCTCCACTGCGTAATGTTATCAGAACACAGTAATGCAGATTTGTGTCATTTATCAGTTTTAATTGACCCCTCAGAAGATCTGAGGATTTCTCAGTGTTGTAGCCCAAACAATCATTTGCCAGTGTTCTGTATCATGTGCAGTCATGTTCTGTATGAATGCTGACATGTGTTGTCAGTGTTATATAGCAAACAATGATACACTATTATTCATTTCCCTAAGGCAGCTGGCAAATTGTTAAGGGTTTAATACTGGTGGATTCAGGAAACATGGCTGTCAATGTACAATGCAAGGGTATACTGTGTGTGAACAGATTTCTTGTGAAGAAGCAGTCAGGCTTTATAAATACAGCGTTCCAAATTTGGGAATAGACTTGGAAGCCCATATCCATTGGCATCATGGGCATCCCAAGTGCTGCTAAAGTTTAAAAAGGTGTTATACAGTTGGCACTGGCATCAAGAATTGAAAGACCATGCTGTTGGCCAGGGTGAACTACAACATTCAGAAGGAATTGTTTGTCTGTATTTCAAGTACAGGATCATAGAACCAACTAGGTTGGAAAAGACCTTTAAGATCATCAAGTCCAACCATTACCCCAGGACTGCCAAGACCACCCCTAAACCATGTCATTGAGGGCCTCATCTATATGGTTTTTGAACACTTCCAGGGATGGTAATTCCACTGCTTCCCTGGGCAGCCTGTTCCAATACCTGATCACCCTCTTGGTGAAAAAAATTTTCCTAATATCCAATCTAAACCTCCCCTGGTGCAGCTTAAGGCCATTACCTCTTGTCCTATCGCTTGTTACTTGGGAGAAGAGACCAACCCCTACCTCACTCCAACCTCCTTTCAGGTAGTTGTAGAGAGAAATAAGGTCCCCCCTGAGCCTTCTCTTCTCCAGACTAAATAACCCCAGTTCCCTCAGCCATCCTCATAAGACTTATTCTCTAGATCTTTCACCACCTCTGCTGCCCTTTTCTGGACCTGCTCAAACACCTCAATGTCTTTCTTGCAGTGAGGGGACTGGAACTGAACACAGTATTAGAGGTGCGGCCTCACCAGTGCCGAGAACAGGGGGATGATCACTGCCCTGGCCCTGCTGGCTACACTATTTCTGATACAGCCCAGGATGCTGTTGGCCTTCTTGGCTGCCTGGGCACAAGCTGGCTCATGTTCAGCCAGCCATCAGTCAGCACACCCAGGTCCTTTTCCACCCAGCAGCTTTCCAGCCACTCTTCCCCAAGCCTGTAGCTTTGCATGGGGTTGTTGTGGCCCAAATGCAGGACCGAGCACTTTGCCTTGTTGAACCTCATACCACTGGCCACAGCCCCATTGATCCAGACTGTCCAGATCCCTCTGCAGAGCCTTCCTATCCTTCAGCTGATCAACACTCCCAGCCAACTAGGTGTCATCTGCAAGTTTACTGAGGGTGTACTCAATCCCCTCATCCAGATCATCAATATTAATTGATATTAAATTACATTAAACATATTAAAATATTTTAAAAAGATATTAAAAAACACTGCCCCTAACACTGAGCCCTGAGGGACACCACTAGTGACCAGTCACCAACTACATGTGATGCCATTTGCCATCACTCTCTGGGCTCGGCCATCTAGCCAGTTTCCAACCCAGTGAAGAATCCTCCTATCTAGGCCATGAGCAGCCAGTTCCTCCAGGAAAATGATGTGGGAGACAGTGTCAAATGCTTTACTTAAGTCCAAATAGACAATGTCCACAACTTTTCCCTCATCAACCAGATGGGTTACCTTATCATAGAAGGTAACCCAGGTAGGTTAAACAGGACCTGTCCTTCATGAACCCATGCTGACTGGACCTGATGCCTCCGTTTTCCTACACATGCTTTATGATTTCACTTAGGATCACCTGCTCCATGACATTCCCTGGCACTGAGGTCAGGCTGACAGGCCTGTAGTTCCCAGGGTCATCCTTCCTACACTTTTTGTAGAGAGGCATCACATTGGCCAACCTCCAATCCTCTGGGACCTGCCCACTAGACCAGGACTGCTGATATATGGTGGAGAGTGGCTTAGCAAGCTCCTCTGCCAGCTCCTTCAGCACTCTTGGGTGTAACTCATCTGGCCCCATAGACTTATACGTCTAAGTAGAGCAGGAGGTCGCTAACTATTTCTTCCTGAATTATGGGGACTTCAATCAGCTCCCCATCTCTGCCATCCAACTCAGGGAACCGAGTACCCTGAGGATGGCTGGTATGACTTAAAGACTGAGGCAAAGGCAGCATTAAGTACCTCAGCCTTCTCCTCATCCTCAATCACTAGGTTTCCCCCTAGTATCCAGTAGAGAGGATGGAGGTTCTCCTTGGCCCTGCTTTTGCTGCTAATATATTTGAAAAAGTACTTTTTATTATCTTTTATGGCAGTGGCCAGATTTAGTTCCATCTGTGCCTTTGCCTTTCTAACTTTCTCTCTACATAACCCGACAACATCCTTATACTTTCCATGGCATAACTGTCCCTTCTTCCACAGGTGATAAATTCTCTTTTTTATTTCCTGAGTTCCAGCAGGTTCTTCCTTTTCAGCCAGGCTGGTTTATTCCCCGCCAGTTTGAGTTTTGGCACATAGGGACCTGCGCCTTAACGATTTCATTCTTGAAGAGCATCCAACCTTCCTGGAACCCTTTGTCCTTCAGTAATGTTTCCCAAGGAATTCTGCCCACCAGTGTCCTAACCAGGCCAAAGTCAGCCCTCCAGAAGTCTAAGGTGGAGGTTTTGCTGACCTTCTTCCTGACTTCTCCAAGGATTGAAAATCCAGTCATTTCATGACCACTTTGCCCAAGATGGCCTCCAACCATCACATCACCCACCAGTCCATCTGTGTTTGCAAACAGCAAATCTAGCCAAGCATCTCCCCTAGTTGGCTCACTAACCAGCTGAGTTAGGAAGTTATCTTCCACACCCTCCAAGAATCTCCTGGATTGCTGCTTCTCTGCTGTGTTGTACTTCCAGCAGACATCTAGTTGGTTGAAGTCCCCACAAGAACAAGGGCAAACAATTGTGAAAGTTCTCCTGGTTGTTTGAAGAACACGTCATCTGTAGCTTCATCCTGACTGGGTGGTCTGTAACAAACTCCTGCTTGGTTGTAGCAGATAGTTGCTTGGTTGGCCTTCCCCCTGATCTTCACCCACATCTGACAGCGATCAGGGTATTTTGAAAGTGTAGTATTGAGAGCAGCTCAGAAAAGGAGCCAGACACAATATGCCAGCAGTAAAAAACCCTTTTATTTCCCTATTTTCTGTATATTCCATGGGCTAAATCTGAACACATTGAAATCAGTGATTTTTTTTTATTATTTTTTGCTCCTTATAGAAGTGATGTGTTATCTTGACCATACTCAGAAGTACAGGACCATAAGAAGAATTTGGTGTGTCAAGTGCTCTTGTTGATCATAGAGGCTGAGGCAGGTTGGGCCTGTTCTCCTGTTCCTGGGCTGTTTCTAGCACTAAACTCAGTGGTTACAATTAGCATTAGTTTCTATATTGCATATTGAAGACAGAGTGAGTGTTTAGCTTGAACAGATATTTTACATTAACTTCTAATTAGCTGTTTTGTATAGGAACTTTTCCTAAACTTGGTTTAATGAAAATACAGATTTACTGCTGGACTGTAATAGAATCATAGAATCATAGAATAGTTAGGGTTGGAAAGGACCTCATCTAGTTCCAAGCGCCCTGCCATGGGCAGGGACACCTCACACTAAAACATCTCACCCAAGGCTTGGTCCAACCTGGATTTGAACACTGCCAGGGACGGAGCATTCAAAACTTCCCTGGGCAACCCATTCCAGTTCCTCACCACCCTAACAGGAAAGAACTTCTTCCTTATATCTAACCTGAACTTCACCTGTTTAAGTCTGAACCCGTTGCCCTTTGTCCTATCACTACAGACCCTAATGAATAGTCCATCCCCAGCATCCCTGTAGCCCCCCTTCAGATACAGGAAGACTGCTATGATTTCTCCACGCAGCCTTCTCTTCTCCAGGATGCTGAACAGCCCCAACTTTTTCAGCCTGTCTTTATACAGGAGGTGCTCGTGGCCCTCCTCTGTACTTGTTCCAACAGTTCCATGTCCTTTTTATGTTGAGGACACCAGAACTGTACACAGTACACCAAGTGAGGCCCCATGAGTGCAGAGTAGAGGGGCAGGATCACCTCCTTTGACCTGCTGGTCACAGTTCTTTTGATGCAGCCCAGGATACTGTTGGCTTCCTGGCTGCAAGTGCACACTGCCAGCTCATGTTCATTTTCTCATCGACAAGCACCCCCAAGTCCTTACCCTCAGGGCTGCTATGAACCTCTTCTTTGCCCAACCTGTGGCTGTGCCTCAGATTGCTCCGACCCCGGTGTAGGACCTTGCATTTGTCATGGTTTAACTTCATTATGTTGTCATCAGCCCACGTCACAAGCATGTCGAGGTCCCTCTGGATGGCATTCCTTCCCTCCAGGGTATCAACCGAACCACACAGCTTGGTGTCATCAGCAAACTTGCTGAGGGTGCACTCAATCCCACTCTTTATTTAAGCGATGAAGATGTAAACCAAGACCGGTCCCAACACCAGTCCCTGAGGGACACCACTTGTTACTGGTCTCCAGCCAGATATTGAGCCATTGACCACATGTCGTGGTTTAAACCCAGCCAGACAGCTCGTTCACTCACTCCCCCCCCACCTTTTCCTCCCTCTTTCCTTCTCATGTAATAGTCTTTCAGGGCAGGAAAGGCTGTGTGCAGTGTTGGATCGTTGCCTGCTGATGCTGATTGTTCCTTTACTGCAGAACTCGTCTTGTTTTATCAAAGTTTATTCTCTGTTGGGATGATGGTTGGAGGGAAGTCTGGGTCACTGGTGACCTGGAGACATCTAGTTGATGGGCTATAAAACTATTAAACAGCAGGCAACAGCATACAATTAAGTTCATTGGCTGTTTTCCCCTAAAATCAAATCCCCAT